CTCCCAGTGTGGCTTCTGCACTCCAGGGATGGTGATGTCCATGTAAACTCTGCTGAGGAAGCCCCAGCCCACCATGGAGGACATCAGGGAAGCTCTGGGAGGTGAAAAGCCAAGATTGATTGACTGACTACTAACAGACAGCTATAAAATATAAATTAGCAGCAAATAAAAGCCGGTTAAACCCTATTAATAGAAGTTTAAGGTATCTAGGATTCTAGTCACAAAGACCTTTTTTAATGACCTTTCTTTAATATTTATTGTGTTTTTGCATCCAGCCTCTTTTTAAGTAATCCCATATAAATAACAATGAATTATACTTACATTACATTTTTATTTACAGTCCATTTGCATTAACTGACGACCTTTTGTTTTTAATTTCTAGGGAACCTTTGTCGCTGCACAGGCTACAGACCCATCTTTGACGGATTTAAGATTTTGTAAAAGTGAGGTAGGTGTTGAGCAAACCTGTTACCTATTACAGCCCTGATTCCCCATTAAATTCATATTTACACACACAGCAGAAAAAAATAGCTAAAGCAACATTTGCGCAAGTGATTGTGAAATTAATGTTCTCAGCAGTCATCCGGCTGCTGCCAAAACAGAAGAGCTGGTGGGGAATGCTGTTTGGAAAACGGAGCAAAGGGCAGCAAAACCAACAACAACGAGGAAAGTTATGTAAGTCAAAACATCATATTAATGTCGACTATTTGGTTAGATGCTTCCCTGTGCTGAGTGTACACTTGATGATATATTGAATGTGTCTTGTGTTTGTCCTCTATCAGATCTCTCAGGAACTCTTCCCAGTGGATTGTTTTTTACCTCTGGATCCTTCTCAAGATCTTATCTTTCCTCCAGAGCTGATGGTGATTCTTTTTAATTGACCTAAAAAACTAATTTGCTACCTCCTACACTACCTCCTGGGAAAAATGCCAGAGAACTATTATGTTAATGGGTTTTCTTTCTTTTGCAGATTATGGAGAAGAAAGTCAATGGAGATGCTCTTTATTTCCAAGGGGAAAGAGTGAACTTGGTTGATCTGTTTAAGCTGTCACACCTCTTGGAGCTCAAGGCTGAACACCCTTCGGCTCCACAAATACGACCTCAGCAGTGTTTTGGCTGCTCTGGACTGCACTCTGCACGTCATATCCAAAGGTAACTTGGCTTATAAATATCTACAATAGGAGGCTATGTATTAATATTCTTCTTCTGCAGTGTTCTGTTTTAAACTCAGTGAATTGTGCAGAACTATGAGAAGGAACGAGGAAGTCTGTTTATTTGGATGTGTTTCAACTTTTACTCATGCGCCAGATTGCTATGTGGGACACGACACTAAGCCCTCATAAATTTAGATAATCTGAGATGATTTCAGTATGATTTTTATGCCTAATGTAGGTCATCGTAACACCAACCACCTGACACTCTGAGCAGGTTAAAAGGCACTTTAAAGCTGCAGTAGGTAACGTTTATAAGAATTACATTTTATCATTATTGCTCTAACTTTCACTTTTTCCTGAAAGTGAATAAATCAGGTTCCTCTGGCTCCTTATATTGTAGTTCACATGATCTGTTTGACTTCCTGTCTGTGTGTTCTCAAACAGAGGCAGAAAATATTTGTAATGTTGTTCTTCTGTGTCTGTCCTCAGATGGGATGAGGAGCTTACCCTTGGATGAAAAACTCTTCGCTGACTTTGGAAAAACAGTCCTCAGGCCCGAAGAAGTCCTGCTGTCCATCGACATCCCCTACACCAAACCTGTGAGACATTCTTAAACAGTGATGCTCATATTCGGATACCAAATACAGCGAGAATTTTAGATTAAATATGTCTTTTTTTCGCCTAGTTAACATTTCTAAACATTTAAAATCAACAAACATTTAAAATCAACAAACAAACCTAAACACAAACAGGAGCTTTTGTTTGGAAGGTCCATTCTCACAGTCTCATCAACTAAATCAGGTCACTTTCTGTAGTTTTTATCCCTGTTTTGAGTCCTAAATAATGTCCATCGGTCCCACTTTTCTTCCATCTGTGCTTATTTCAATGTCAAATGATTTGTAAATGTTTCCATTATGTTGACTTTCTCTACTATCTCTATCCATTGTTCCTGAATAGGGGGGATAGATCATTGTTTTAACCTCTTTTTAGAACGTGTCTTATTGTCTTATTAGCATTTTAAATTTTTAAACTGCACATAATTCAGCACTGCTATTATCATCTCAACATAGATTTGACTTTGAGGCAGAACGATCGAACGAGCATTGCTTGGATGGTAACCAACCAAGTGTGGTACAAATCTATTTTTAGATTTTCACTGAGCCGGTTCTCTAACAAAAGCTCCTTTGTGCCACATTAACACTTCTGTTTTTGTATCATTTATCTGATTATACAACTCTGTTAGACTGGTTTTTCCCCCTTTGTCCACAGCTCGTATCAGAGGCCCAGCCCTCTCCTGGTGGGTCGTCCCAGCATGCATCAGTCTGCTTTCCAGCAAGCCACAGGTGAAGCAAAGTACTACGACGACCTGCCGCTGGTCCAGGGAGAGCTCTTCGTCTTCATGACGAACACCAGAGCCCATGCTAAAATAATGTAGGTAAAATTCTACTGTAAGTCAAAGCTTTACTGCCCCAATTAAAGGTGATATAACACCCCCTAGTGGCTACATTAGTACAACAGCCCTGAGGCAAACAGTGGCTTTAAATCACTCATTTGGCTATAGTTTATTCCTCCATCAGATAAAAATCCTTTACCTCAGTTTCTCTTTTCATTAACCAGCAACATCGACCCGTCAGAGGCCCTGCAGATGCCCGGGGTGGTCACTTTTGTCTCTGCTGGAGATGTTCCTGGGGCAAACCGCAGACTCTGGTTCAATAACCCAGAGGAACTGTTTGCAGAAGAAGAGGTACGTTAAACACCTGGTTAGATATTACATCAAGATGCAGAAAGAAAAGATTTAAAACAACAGATGGCACAGAGAATGGACAATGCCAATATTTTCAGGTTTAAGTTAAGATTATTCTACATTTCTGGTTTCAGCTTCTCAAATGTGAGGATTTGAAGTCTTTTTCTATTTTTTATCACTAAATAGTTTTAAACTGCTGGTCGGACAAAACAAG